AATGAACAGAGTGTGTCATTCATATCATTTTTACTAAGTACAGTAGCAAATTAAAAAGTCTGTAGAGAAACAGCAAACGACAATAACATCCACTAAAAGACCTGAAGGCACTGACTGTTGACAGAGCTGTTTCACTGAGGTGATTTTCGGTGTTTCCTGTGACTATGTCTGTGAAAAAAAAAAAAAAACAACGGCTTTCTTTGCATGAGTGTTTTTCTATCACTCCTGTATGCTCTACTGAATGTTTTTTGTTGTGTGATAATATAAAAAAAAAAAAAGATGAGGGGGGCCGAGGGGGGGGGGGCGGGGGTTATCACCCCCAGGTTTTGCTTCTTATTTAGTTCCCTAGTTTTGTATGTTTTATTTTTTTCAGATGTTCCTGTAACCCTGTACCTGTAGGCACCGGCTTCACCTCTCTGTATTCATTGATTTATTTAGACTATGTGGGAGGAATTCATTGAACTCACATTTATCAGAGATAGATCGAAAAAAACAAACAAACAAACAAGAAGGAGTACTGTATATTGGGTTCCTGCTCTTTTAATCTTCTATTCACATCATGCTATATGTAGTAGGAGAAGTTGTTTTTGTTTGTTTGTTTTTTTAGGAAGGATTACCTTGTCTTATGTCATGTATCCCCCACTGGTAGTGAAGGATAATGCTGTTTATTGTATACCCTTGCAGAGGACTAATGCTTTTTCACTCTTTTTTCGCTTCGCTGAACATGTGTGTTGTACCTGAGATGAGATAGTTAATGATCCATGTCAATAAAAGAGAGAAATATGACACACAGAGTGTTGCTTTACAAAACCTGCAAGGTTCTGTGGAGGAGGAACAGAGGACTTATAAGGAACTAACACTTTTATTTCCTGGTATTTCTGTCATTCACTGCATATCAAAAAATTACACTGTTCATCCAGATATTTTTAGTGTACTACAGCAGAGGTCCCCAAACTTTTGTAGCAACGTCTGGTTACTGCCGGTTACTGCGAACCAGTAATACCGCACCACTGGGATCAGGATCATTGCATTTCGAAATACACCACTCTCAGACTTTTTGCTGTCAGTATCAGAGCAGTGGTTCTTAATTACCCCCACTCCCCGGGGACAGAAATGTTTTCACGCCCCCTTCCCTCCCCCCGCCACTCACTCCGACCCACACTTCCTTGAATTGAAATACTATTGAGCAGTGGTGGGTAGTAACGAGTTACATTTACTCCGTTGCATTTACTTGACTTCGTTTTCCAAAATAAAATACTTCGAGGACTAGTTTTAAATAACAATAATTTTTAATTTTACTTGAGTAGATTTGTAAAGAAACAATACTCTTACTCCGCTACATTAGGCTATACTGAGCTCGTTACTTTTATCGAGATACTGGATAAAGCTTTAGCTATCAAGTATTCAGTTCTCTATTCGTCCACAATCCAGTATCTCTACTTTTATTTTGTCAGAAGTAGACTTCCGCCCAAGGCTCTTCCGCGTGACTGTGTTTAACCAATAAAACGTAGACCTTGACTTGCAATCTCGTGACGTGACCATACTCAGTCTCAGCGGCGGGACGGGTTAGTTTAGCTGCTTCTGTGGCTATTCGCCGTCTTAGATTATAAACAAATGGTAGAATCAACGGTCGGCAATGGAAACGAAGACGAGGAGACACAATCCTGGACTCATATTGAAAATGTTCAGTTTACAAAAAGTGCGGAACAGCAGTTACATCATGCGGTGTCTTTTGTGTCTCCCAAAACAAACATTTCAACATTCAAAAATTCAACGTCTTACATGAGGAATTATGTTGCGGTAAGTTTGACCTAAAACCGTTTTTCGTTATTTTGTAAATATTTAATTTTTTATGTATAATTTCATTGATTTGTATTTTTTTTTACCTAAAGATTATTTTATTTTAAGGTATTTAATAAATAAAAAATGTAATAAAAAATGTAAAAAAACATAATAATAATAAACATAATAATAATAAACTTTTTTTCACTAAGTACTTTTTTACTCTTACTCAAGTAATTATTTGGTAGACCACTTTTTTCTGCTACTATAGTAATATTATTAGTAGTATTAGAAGTAACAGTACTTTTACTTGAGTAAGATTTTTGGCTACTCCACCCATCTCTACTATTGAGAACCTCATAACATGTATATTTATATCTGTACAAACCACTGTATTGTATGAGTATGAGTTGCTGCCGAGGTCCAGCGTGCCATATTCCATTGGAATCAATATTCTTACTATTTACATATAATGTCAATAATCAGATTAAAGTAATGTCACTTTTCTAAAGAAATGGGGAAGACAGGAGACATAAACCTTTGATAAAAAAATAATTTAACCGTTTGTCCAGTGAGAGGTAATTCTGTTCCTGCTTGGATATCACAACGTATCCAGAAGGGTTATCTGAGTCTGATTGAAAATTTCAAATTCAGCCTAAAGATGATGTTCTTTTACGAGTTCGGTTCAGGATTCTTTACAGCAGATCATATTCCCTTCTCTCATCTTTCCCTGGCCTGCTCTATTTCACTGCTATCTCTTCTCAGCACATTGAAACATTTTAACCTTCCTTCTTAATAAAAGGACTGATGTTGTCATTTCACCCCCCCCCCCCCCCCCCCCCGCTCACATTTAGCCCAATGAAAATTTCAGCTCATGTTTTTAACACGGTGCAACTTGTTCCAAAGTTGTGAGACACCATCATACTAAGGTGTAAATCTGTCCTTTCACATTTGTCCTTCAAAAGCCCTGACTCTCATCCAAACCCCACCCCACCCCCACCCTGCTCTCTCACAGTACTAAATCAGTTTAACAATGATTATCATTATATATATAAAAAATCAAAAAAATCTGATGATTGATGTGAGGCTCTAATGGAAATGTTAAGACAACTTTATTGGTGTGGTTTACATCTTTGACTGCAGATAATAGGAGATGAAAACGTACAGGTTTTTTTTATTTTTTATGCTATGACTTGAAGGGATTGCAATCGTGAGGAGAATTCAACATTCCTTTGCTGGCATGTTGTGATTTCTCCCAAGGCAGGACTGTCAGAAGTTTTGTACACTCGACAATTTTCCCATCGTCTTTGATCCCTGTCAATAAGCCCCGCCCAGTGCAACCATCCACCATCCCCCTGTTTCTCCCTGATGATCCAGTCTATTTTTCCCACTTTTTGTTGCCCCCATTTCCCCCGTTGCCTCTTAAGTCCTCTGATGTTTCAATCGATGAATAAATGATTGCTTCTATTCTCACTCTGAGTGCTTGGCCAACATGAGCCGCTCTGCTCCCTTGGAAGGAGTCGAAGATGGAATTCAGGAGACTGACAGACAGCACTGATACAGAAGGCGAAAAGAAAAGAGCAAAACGCATTCCGGAGGAAGATTCGCAGCATATGACACAATGAGCTGTCAGTCAGCAGCTGAATACATTTGCAAGTTTAAGCAGTAATTGTTACATCAAGAGGCCAAGCCGCTCGCACGCCGGTCCCACGTGAACATTAATGCACACACACACCCACCTGTGAACCCGACAGTAACATCACATTTCATCACTTTGCACTCCTGCGTTCCCTGTACGCATTTCCCATTTATCGGTTGTAAATGAGAAATGATCGTTCTCATACCTTTGCCTCTGAATGCCACTACAACAGCAGTTGCACATTACGAGGTGTGAAGGACAAAGTAAGGGATACGAAGTCAGTTGTTTAAGTTGCAAATATGCAATTGAGACATGCAAAATTTTATATTGCTGCACACAAATCGCTGTAGGAGCCCAAGGTATAAGAGCTGAATGTGCATCCACCAGCCTACATGTGGAAGTTGATTTTGATAGTAAATGATATTTTGTGTAAAAACCATAATGTAAAGATGTAAGTCTGTGGTAAAGGTTCCATCAAGATTTTTTATTTTTTTTAAAGGCTGACATCACCTAAAGATGCAAAACCAACATCTTGGGCGCTGACGGACTTGACTGGGCTGAAGTCCAGATTTGATTCAACTGGAAAAAGGTAAACTATAAACGTTTTCTGCAGGTTCTCTGGTTTCGTCAACCAATCCAAAAACATGCAGATTAGGGATTAGGTTAACTGTTCACTCTTATTTGAACATAGATGGAAACATAGGTGTAATGGTTGTTGCTTTTCTATCTGATGTATTGGTGAACCGTAAACTTTGTTCTCCTCCCTCTGCCATTGACTGCTAGGAGTGCCCCCTCCTAACCCACCAATAATATTCATTCTACTGTAGAACCTAACAAATCTTAGAACCAATTCAGGTCCTAAATTGTTGTTGGGGAAACTTAAACTGTTGTTGGCACACAACCAGCCTTTGTAGTTAGTAGTTGTTGTTGTTTTTTTTTTTTTAAATAATCTTTTTTAATTGTCATTGTTTCTTCTGTTTGTCACATTTGTGTCCTTGCTCCTGGGTTCTTCCTGGGTCCCCACCCCCTGTGTTTCCCTCCATATTGATTACTTAATCATCCCCAGCCTGTGTCTTGGCAACATCTCCCCTGTCACTCTCTGCCAGTTTGTTTCTCTCCCTTGAGATGGAACCAGTGTTCGTGTAGCGTTTGCTTTCTTTTAATGTGTTCCCAGACCCGAGCCTCTCTTCCGACTCTGAGTAAGACGCTCATTTTTCATACCTTCATTTTCCTGTGATTTGGCTGAATTGATTCAGATCGTTATAAGCTGTTTTTGCACCATTATTATGTGTCTTCAATGGAGTGCACCACTCTGATTATCACACAAAGAAGGACTAGAGTGTTTGTTAAAGTGGGATTAGCATTCACGGTGTTAATCCAAATCTCTGCTCAAGGCTTCTGCACTAAAAAAAGGAATCCTAATTTGTTTCTTCTCTAAGACCTAAATAACTGCCTGGCGTCTTAGTGTTCACAAAACATTCACCCTGATGTTGTATGGGAAATTATCTGAA